AGAATACCGTATTTCAAAATCATGCAACCTTTTTAAAGAAGAAATATTAATTTAATCCGAAATTACAGTAGTTCTATGGGAATACAATTGGGACTACTGCGATTTATCAAATACTAAAAGAACAATCAGATTTTTCATCTTAACGCGTAAAACTACTATCTGGATTACATTAAAAAGAAATACAAAAGAATAAATTCAGTTTCGGTGAAGTCTGAAAAAAGTTTTCTATTTTTGTAAAATATTCTTGTAATTGAAATTAAAAAATTCAGGTGTATATTTATTTGAACGATAAAGCGATATTTATCATAAATGCAATGCATTTTTTCTGGAAATATGTTTTTAATGGAGCAATCGATCCATTTACTGTAAAATAATGGTTACTTCAAAAATCTTCTAAAACAACGGAGCCATAATTAAAAATTTATATTTACAAATAATTAAATATTTACTCAGTTTTGCTACAACAATATAATTGCTTTTTCGGAAGATCTCTCATAACTTTCTTGTCAGTTTCCAAAATTGTCTGCATTATCTCTACAGTTCATAAATTTTATGATAAATCGATTCTGTAGTTGATTTATTTATGTATTTTCCGACCTACATACAGCATACCACTGAAAAATAAGGCTATTTTCTTTTTTGAGGAATAGTTTATTTTTTCCAAAGTTCTGAATTTCGTACTCAGATTTTTTGCGGTATTAATTACAAAAATTCAGAAACATTCTATTCATACTCTATGTAGGAATAGTTACAGTAAATACTCAAAATAATAATCATCAATTTCAATACGTTTTTGTAAAACACGGTTAAATTTTGAACCGACATGATACACAATGTTTATAAAAACATAATTTAAAATATTAAATCAAAATATATTAGTTCAAGACATGATTAATGTATTAATAATTATCGTTTTATATAACAACACATAATTTGTTTTCAAACGAAAAGTACGTTTGACGTGAAATATTATTTCGAATACTGGTAGTTCAAAAATAACTGGGTCTTGTATCTATTAATACTGATGCGTATCAATTTCCAAGCATCATGTTACGATATCAAAAACAACTGAGATGAAGTTATTGTATCGGTAAAAGGGATTTGTTCAGGCTTCTTGTATTACAGATGCAGTATAAGCAGTACGTATTATTAAGATGTTAAAGAAACATCGAAGATAATGTTACACATTTAACTGGAATATGTTCTTCACGCCTTCTGTAGTCAAATAAGGTTGATTTCGATAACATAAATTTTATTTTATTACTTTCACGTTTAAAGATATTTGTGGTGTGTGTATACGAGTGCAATATTTCATTGTTTTACTTGCGAGAAAAATATTTTGTTATTATAAATGTATATAAATAATTTATTGTAACGATACATTTCTATATTTCTATATTCCTCTATTTTACTACAGTAAATATGAAAATCTTGATTCTAGCGACCATAGTAACTATGTAGTTTGTTACTATTCTAAAACAAGATGCTATAAGATTATAAAAATATTTCTTATTACAATAATTTATTTTATGAGGTTACACAATAGCTTTTTTTAGTGCACTATTCATATTTAGATATCCAGTAATTATGATTCTTTTCTTAAATAACGATAGAGGCAGTCATATTGACATTTTGTGTCTTTTACTTAAAACACTTTATTTAAAATCCTTAAGTTATAATAATCATTACATTTTTATATTTAAACATGTTTGCTGACGAATTCTAAAGTAAGATAAGCTTTAATGTTTTTCTATCGCCTAAATAAACTAAATAAGATGATCACTTTTACCATGACAATAAATTCGAAAAATTCGTATAAAAATGGTAGTTGGTTAAAGTTTAAATTACGCTTCTTCTTGTGATTTATGTTTTCTTTATCAAAAGTATTAACGTTTTGAAAATATGTATGTTTTCAATTGTATATCTTTGACAATTTAACCAATTTTGAACATTCGTTTGACAGATACCATTCTCCAATTAGTGAGGATTGAAAAATACAAGAACATTGGGTTTTTTTAGCTCAATAACCAGAACACTACCTGAATGAATATTTCACTTTCAGTTGTGTCACATTTGAATATAACGTAGAAAACTATCACTAAAATTACTACACCCATCAAAATAAGGGGTTTCAATTTTTTTATTTTGCAATTATTTATATCTTGAAGGTATTGAATATCCAAAATGGTTTAAAAAATAAATAGTTTCACTTGAATACTATAGTATTATAAGAAATCGAAAAAAATGTATTATTGCAATATTTGTAAGGATTACATATTAATTGTATTAAATGCTCGGTAGTTTTATTGTTAATGATTAATCTAGTGCTTTTTTCGTTTAATTTCATTCGTAGTAATAAAAACGACATCACAGAAGGAAAGTGAAAAACAGAACGGCTGTTTCAATATACGATTGGTATCTGCAATAAATGCCAGAAATCGATCCTATTATTCGAATTTATACTATTCGAATACATACTTGAAATATTTACAACAATTGATTCCGATTTAATAAAAAATGTATAACAACATTTTTTAAATATGCGTTCCATATATATTTTACTACTTTATGTTTATTATTGTACAAAATATCTTAGTGATGTGAATTACACTTTCTTTTGCTTCTTCATATCTTCGTACGTGTGTTGATAAACTAATAGTCATTTGTCTAAGTCTCAGTTAATTTGCATTCTTCGATCCACGTTAAGATGATTTCATTTTTTACACCAGACTGAATCGATGAAAGAAGTCTCGCGAACCTCGCATTAACTGAATGTCTATTCTCAGTAAGTACAACCTGGTGATACTTTATAATTCATACTAATATCGCATTATTTGAATTTGCATTAATTGAGATCTATCTGTATAACATTAGGTTTATACGCTTCTTTAATTCCTAGTAGCAAGTACAAAAACGTATATTTTCACTTTCATCTTTTCAAAACTGTTTTTGAAATTTTTTTAATTGAATAAACGCACATATTGGAGCATTTTATATACGTTTACATATGTCTTCATAAATATTTTTATAATGCCAAATTACTAACTGTTAGCAATTGCAGTGAATTGGAGCTCACTATCCTTGAAAATGTATATTTATTCACACTTATAACTTTTATAATCATTTCACACGTCAAAAATGACTAAATCAAATTTTTATTGAGTTGGAACAATTCTATATAATTTCAAATATATTGATATATAAATATATAGAATTTGTATTCAAAAGTACGTACCGTTCAAATCAGTAGCTACTAAGGAAGGAGACGTGGTTGAATAATACAACAAAAAATATATTTAATATCTTTTAAACATTTATAAGACATTATAATAACTCATTTTTTATTTGCAAAATTTTTGTAACTTCTGGCAGTGTCAGATTGTCAATGTTCAAAGCGATAAATGCGCTCGTCGTCTGTATAATTTATGATTTTCACTACATACAGTACTTTTATTACTGATATAAATCCTTCATTGAAAATCTACATGATCAAACATATTGCAATATCAATTACCCTTTTGCATAATGTAAATGTTTCTAAAAAAAGATCGGTATCATAAATTTTACATTTTTCTAACAATTTATTAGATATGGTTTTAATGAATCAGTATTGTAATTTTCAATATCCTGTCAATTAGCAACAGCTTTACATGGGTAAAGCTAGTTTATACAAGCTTCTCTTGTATACCGATTACTTATTCTAGAAAATTCATTCTGCATCCTTTCTTGCATGGGCATGTAATTGTGTGCAATATGAATAAATGCATGACTTTCTAGAGAATTAAAAGACATTTACCAAAAATTTGTACAAACTTTTGATTGTTTTATTCAAAGAACGGAAAATTTTCAAAAAAATAAGTAGATATTTAAGTATTCATGTAATAGAAAAACTTATATATACATGTATAATACAAAATATATAGTTGATAGATATATCGATAAAAAGAGAAAATTTATTTAAGTTTCAGTTATTTACTATTTTATTTATTTATTTATTCATTTTACGAGTAGATGCCGTTTAGTTCAGGAAAGAAAGAGATATAAATGAAGCTTATACAAAGCAAGAGTTTTACAATATAATGCAATACATAGTAAAATAATAAGCAAAAAAAATTAAACTTTCAACTTGAAATTTTACCCAGAAATTAGTCTTTTAACAGAGCTTTTAAAGCTATTTCAATTTCCGAAAGACATATCAATTTGATTGCTAAAATTTCGTGAAATTTATGAATTCTTACTGATGTGCAAATTATATCAAATCGTTTTCTAGATAAATTTTTAACAGCATAGAGATACAAAAGAATATTAAAAAGAATAAAATTTGTTTATTCTTTAGACTATAAGACGAATTGCCACCTCATAAATGATTCGGGTAATGCATATATGTGTGTTTACATGCTTCAAAATAATATTGGTACCTTGACATAGAAATTCACTGAATTTACATTTTTAAATGGAAATATTAAACATTTCCATAAACCAATACACGCCAAGTGTACATTGCATAGAATAAATGACGCTGTCCCCTGAAAAATTGAAAAACCAGGTAGAAGTGGCATTTTGATATATGAAAATTCCGATAACGTCAAACAAATCCAGACATCGATAACTTCAACACCGAAATCCTCGATTCATCCCGAAAGAGACCTCGCATAACGTCCGCAAACCCACTTCGAACCGTTACACGGAAAAAGCACATACATACCATACGTTCAAGGAACAGAAAAGGAACGATCATTTTTCTCTGACCGGTAATTTGGTGTTAACCTGTCGTCCCTCTGCCTTCGGTAAAATCGTAGATATAAGACGCTGGAAAGTGTCGACGGCCGAGGTTACAAAATAAA